CAGCATATGTTTTATACAGCTGATGCCCGTCCAGCTGCAACCCATCACTGGGATACATCCATAGATTCACACATGCACTATGGCCAATTTAGCTTACTCAACTCACCTAAAGTGCATGTCTTTGAACTTGTGTGGGAAATCGGAGCACTTGGAGGAAACCCACGCCAACACATCGAGAATATGCAAACTCCACCCAGAAATGCCTACTGACCCAGCTGGGACTTCAACCAGCAACCTTCTTGCTGTGAGGCGACAGTGCTAACTACTGAGCCACCATGTTGCCCTACTTTTTTTTTATCAATATTTATGTAAATGTTATTGGTTTGCATGCTGGCAGTGTGTCAATGCTCCAGTCAAACCAGCATATGCTTAAAATCATCAACCAAACAGTTTAAACCATGATCATTTATAAAAGGAAGGTCAAAGGTCAGACAGTGGCGTGGTTAACCCTCATGACCTGACTGTATTTGTCATCAGCAGGTGTGAATTGACAAGTTAAGGAGCTGCATGTAAACACTCAGTCTTGCTTGGTTTAATATATATACTGTATATTTATATTCATACACTGCCATTGCCCCTGGTGAGATATGACACCCCTGGGCTTCATGAAAATTATTGCAGACCTTTTGCAAAAGCACTGTTCATAATTACCATCTGTCAGGCTAGAGTTGGTGGAGAGATGCAGGATGTGTGTATGTGTGTGTGTGTGTGTGTGTGTGTGTGTGTGTGTGTGTGTGTGTGCGCGTGTGTGTGTGTGTGCGCGCGTGTGTGTGTGTGTGTGTGTGTGTGTGTGTGTGTCTGTTTAACATGCTGAGCAGACAGCAAGCGTTTGACTGAGAGAAGCCAATCGGCAGGATGCGAGTGTGTCCTTCTCTCTGTTCTCAGGAGGACAGCACTGAATAAATGCTTCATCTCACCAACAGACAGAGACAGACAGACAAGACAGATAAACTGATGGACGGACAGACAGACGGATAGATGGACAGATGGATGGATGGAACGACTGATGGACAGACAGACAGACAGTAAGGCGGATTGATAGACAATTGGACGAATGGATGGATGAACGGACAGATGAGGTGGACAGAGAGACAGAATGAAAGAAAGACAGATTGACAGAGGAACAGACAGACAGACAGACAGACAGACAGATGAGATGGACAGAGAGAGAAATTAAGAAAGACAGATGGAGAATGAGACAGACAGATAGACAGACGGATAGACCAACAGATACATGAGGTCGAGAAAGAGATGAACCGACAGACAGACAGACAGACAGAGGAGGTAAACAGAGTGGAAGAAAGACAAACGGACAGACAGACAGACAGACAGACAGACAGAAGAAACAGACAGACAGACAGACAGACGGACAGACGGACAGACAGATGAGGTGAACAGACAGACAGACAGACAATCAGACAGACAGACGAAGAGACAGAGGAGGTGGACAGAGAGAAATAAAGACAGATGAGGAGGACAGATAGAGAGACACACAGACAGACAGACAGACAGATAAACAGACAAAGAGACAGACAGATGGAGAGACAGGAAAACTGAACAGAGAGAAAGAAAGACAAATAGACAGACAGACAGATGAGGTGAACAGACAGAAAGACAGACAGAAGGAACAGACAGACAGACAAACAGACAGATGAGGTGAACAGACAGAAAGACAGACAGAAGGAACAGACAGACAGACAGACAGACAAACAGACAGAGGAGGTGGACAGACAGAGAAAAAGAAAGATAAATGGACAGATGAGGTGTACAGACAGACAGATGGATGAACAGACGGACAATAAGAGGTGAAGGACAGACAGAAAGACAGACAGATGAGGTGAACAGAGTAAAATACAGACAGAAAGACAAAAAGACAAACAGACAGACAAGCAGACAGACAGACAGACAGACAGACAGACAGGCAGACAGGCAGACCAGACAGACAGACAGACAGACAGGGAGATGAAAAGACAGAGAGAGAGAGAGAGAGAGAGAGAGATGGAGAAACAGATGGACAGATGGACAAAGAGATGAATAGCCAGACAGACAAATGGACAGAGCCAGATATATGGACAGACGAACAAAGAGACAGATGGTTGGACAGACAAAAGTATGTCCACAGTTTTCTGGTTCACTGATAGCGGTGTGTGTGTCCACTGTCCTAAAGAATGGACTAGCCAGAGACTTTTTTTGTTGCTCCAATGCATGTTTGTTTGTTTGTTTGTTTATTATTATTATTATTATTATTATTATTATTGTTATTATTATTATTTGGCAAATCTCTGTTTCAGACCTGCTGTTTCAGACTACACAGTAGCAAACTGTAGCAAATTGTTGTATAAATTGAATTGAAGACATAGATGTTGACCCACTGAAAAACACCCTGTATTTAATCCAGCAAAAAAACTCATGGTGGCCACAAGAGGATGCAAGTGAGCATTGAACAAAAAAATATTTGCTTGAATCAGGGGTACCCAAACTTTTTCTAAAAAATAACAAAATTTAAAATGTAAAATATAACAAACTGTATTACAATAAATTATTACATAAAAATAAAACATAAAACATTGCTTTAAATTATATTAACTAATACAGAATATTTTTAACATATAATGAACTTATATTACAGTAAAAATATAAACAATCTCATTAATAACACAATGGAGTTCAATGCTCAATACACTAAGCCGTACCTGCCTTTGCCCTGATTTGCATGCCGTTGTCTTGTTCATTGCCCTCTGTCTGTTAAGTGACATTATTTACATTTTTTAATTTTGAAATGACAACCTCTGTCAAAGTAAAGTCAAACATTCGTCCCAACCACATCCCCATCATTCTCCCTCTCTTCTCAAATGGGATGGTGGGTCAAATCAAAGGTTAGCATGGGGCAACTTTGGTCTGCGAGCCCTAGTTTGGGCATATCTGGCTTTAATGCCCTGATGCACCAAGCTAGCTTCAAAGAACTAGCAGTGACTGTGTTGTGTAATCACATCGGCTGCATTTGGGCCAACAAATCCAAGCTTAAGCACACCAAAGGGGCTAAAGCCAATGGCATACTTGCATGCATGTTCTTCACGTTTGTAAATGAAAAAATCTGTCTATCTGTGAGAAAAGTCTGCATTCCTCATTCAAAAAAGAAAAAAACAAACCAATGTCTGCAGACTTATATGAACTGTAAAACAATGTTCCTTATTCCAGATGGCGTATGAATATATGTGTATGTTTCAATGCTCAGGTAAGATAACTTGTTTGTTACTTTACTACTCTCATCAATGGCCCCAATGCCATCAACATGTTGAATTGGGTCAACTGTTGCTAATCTGGACTGGAATAGAGCTAAAACACACCTCAAACACACCTCAAAAACGTATCCAACATTGGAAGGTGTTATGTGGTGTTCACACAAGATGCGGCATGCGTGAATAAATGGCAAAATTGGCATGTAAATAAATGCATGAATGTTTTAAGTTTATGCCGAGTCCAGACTGCACGATTTTATGATTTGCCCCAAGTTTGGCAAATCATAAAAAGCTGTCGCCGACAGCTTTTAAGAAATTACAGACAAATGGCTGAAATCACAGGCAAATCGGTGCTCATTCACATAAGTGAAAAATCACACAATGTGAACTTTTTGTCACCGATTCAAGTCATGTCGTGTGAAATTAGTTTGGAATAAAAATAACATCAGCGATTGCCTACAGCCAATGAGAGAGCAGCATTCACTAGACTAATATTTGTGTGCGCCTGCAAGCCAGCGGGAGGCTGGGGGAGAAGTTTAAAACACTTCTATTCAGTTTATTTGGACTCAAGAAATGGAGTAAAAACTAGTGTAAATTTGGCAGGAGTTGTCTATTTGAGGTGTCATGTGAGCAATACCACAACCGGGTCAAAAAAGAAAGTTGAGGAGAAATGACTAATTCCCTTCAAACCCAGGTGAGCAAATATGTACATTTTGTACCCCATTAAAGGCTTTTTTTTTCATTAATTAGTTAATAACAAAAGATACACTATGTGTTTTTGGCTGTGAGACGTAGTTTGGATGAAGTTTTCGGTGATTCTTCCTATTGTAAAGTCATGCAGTATGAAAACATCTGTGACATGACTACTTTGAAAATCATGCATTCTGAACTCAGTATTACTCGCTTCATTCGCGTGTAAATCTCACTTAATTTGCACGTCAAATTCACTTCACAATAGATGTGGATTCGCATCATGGGAAGGGCTTCTATTTACTCAGTGACTCTAGCTTCGCTGCTAAATGGCTAACAGGGGATTTATTGAGAGAATAGCTGTGCTTTATGTGCTTTAGGAAGGCTGAAAAACAGTGTATATTTGTTTGGCGCTGTGTCGGAGTCTACAAGATACCTTCAGATGTGCGTCAAGCTCAGTGAGTTCATCAACTCCTCCGGAAACTGTACCTGGATGATAGAAGTTTTCAGTGGTGCTTCAAACTGAACCGAACCCAGTTTGATAAACTATTGTACAGGGGCTGCAAGAGAATTTCCCCTAGGGACACCAATAACAGGTACTATTATGTAATCACTCTCCAACAAGAGCAAGCTCCTGATTGGTTAACGCGGCGCAAATGTCCACTGAAGTTTAGATTTTCCAACTTGAGCAATATGCGTATTAAGCATGTCAAACGAGCAAAACGCTTAACCCGTGCCGCTTCATTCATGCAAATCACACCACAGGATGTCTATTCGCATCTTTTCATTGACTTAACATGTAAATCACTTTATCCGCGTTTGGTGTGACAGCAGCATAATAATAAATAAAGAAAAAATAATCATTTTCAAAACAGTCCAGAACATCTTACTTCTATTGGTAAAAAAAAAAAACACATCCTAAATTGATGGTAAATACCATACCCTCATTTTATTTAGCCAATTGTTTGCTGTTTTACCTTCTGCTCAGTTTATTTTATTTTAATTACCTATAACAGCTCAGACCAGTTTTTATGTTAAAAAAGGAAAGAAAAGAGAAGAGCTCAATCTTACCTTGACGGTTTCAGCATCACATGTTCCAGGCGGACCCTGTTGTGATGAAATAAATCTCAGTATTAGTAAATCAAATCTTTTTCACTTCCATTAGTCAGCTCATACAGACATGTCATGGGTTTATTTAATCAAAATCTAATATAATACAATGCAAACTCCTCTTTAACTGCCTGACACAACAACCAGGACAGCGTTCGCTGACAGCTGCAGCAACAACACCTGCAAATGTCCTTGACAAAGGTCACTAGACATATCAGCTCCACTAAATATCCAGACAGATAAGGGCTCCTGGACTGCACATGACGTTCACAGACACCTGGAGGCTGGAGGGAGGAAGTCTGGGCCGCCCGAGGCTCTCCTCCCCACCACCGACAACAGGCCACTCATAAATGCCAGCTCCCGAGGACAGAAGCAAGGTTGGCACATGCCACAGAAATTATCAGGACGCTGCCATTTAAAAATGTCACTCTCGGAAACCACTTCCCTCCTGAGTCTTATGACTTTGTGTGCACCACTTTATAAGTTTCCTGTGGTGGAAATTGACAGATTTACAGTAGTTTATGTGAAACTAAAGGATAAGGCATTGCCTATATTTACATGTGCAGCAAAATGTGATTTCCAGTTACAAGAGTAACGATTAAAGTACTTCAGATTTTCCCTGTTTTTTAAATGGACATTTCATTATTATGATTGTTTGCTAAAAAGTGTGTTTATTATTAGGACTATTAATTAAATCAGAAGTGCAATTAAGCTAATTGTTATGCAATTGTCATGAACATCTTGTCAGGAAAGCACGGTTTTGTGAAATCTTCTCTGAGGACTAGAGGCGCTTCTCAGTAGCGCTCTCATGTGGAAACGGCAAATACCCACAAAGAAGAAACCCAGGAAATCCCCATAGTGGTTGCTTAAAAAAAAAAAAGATTTAACTGCTTTCTTTGATTTACTGTGAATAATAATTGCACAACTATGAAGTCATCTCACAAAAGAATTTATATTAAATACTCGACTGAAGTTTTGAAGCGAGTTTGAAGTGAAAATGTTAAGAAATGTGGTATTTTCCTATTTTAAGCATTTACCTACACAGCACTGATGTTAACTGAAACAGCTACTTGTTGCAGAATGATTCATTTCCTTACCATTCGATTAAATTAGTGTGTTACTCTGCAATGACTATTTGTAGTAAATGTGACTTTACCTGAAAACACATGCTGTAGATTTACTACAACCAGTCAAACAGCACATGAAACTCACATTCGATTAAATTGACCTGCCCTACACTTATTTAAGCCTTAATTTTATATTATTAACAGTTTTAATCGACTTGCATCAAATGCTGGATGAATTTAAACAGCAGGTAACTATGCAGTGAGTTGTACAGACAATTTAATCATTTAAAAATAAAGCCAAATGTACTGTAAGAATAATGTCACAGTGTATTCACACAACACCATGAATGAACTCTGTGTGCATTTTAGCACATTCACACTTTATAACAGCGGTAAATGATTATTTATGGTGTTTAAAATAGTAAAATTGATGCATGCCATACAGTTCAAAACAATAAAGGTTACTACGAGTTCCCACTTAAGAGGGTTTGCACAACAGATTTGTCAGTGATTTGTCAGTGATTTGTCGCATCATGCAGCACCATGCAATCTAATAGGGTACCCACACTGGTGCTATAAGTTGAGGACTCAGGACACTGTACATATTTCCAGCCATCTGAATAGTTTAAAATTAAATTACATTAGAATGTGCATGTATTGTGTGCAATATTTCCAACTGTCATGTGCGGTTTGTCGTGGCGCTGAGCGTCGTATCTGGTGTGCAACACTTTTCAGATATTGTTTGATGCTATTAGCAGGCTTGGCATGCTGTCTCAGGAGAGAACCCTGGGCTCAGAGATAATTGAGCCCAGGGCTTACTTCTGGTCATTTAGCATATAAGGGGGTTCAGAATCAGGTAGGTCTCAAGAGATCCCCTGGTAAAAAAGGAAAAGGAGGATTGCGGTGGACGGTAGCATTCTTTCAAAATGAAGTTAAGGCAGTAAAGTGAAACTGGTCTATTTATTGGAGGTTTGGATTGATCAAATTGGATTATTGCTGATATAACTCACTCCTCTGGAAATGAATTTGTAAACTTCACATTAGTTTGATAAAAGTATCATGTTTACATGATATAAAATGTCATTTAAATACAGCCAAAATCCCAATGTAGTCTCACTGTGAGGATGGATGTAAGCCAGGAATGTGCAGTCAGGGGAGGCATGTGAGGCAGTGTCTCACCTGTCATCATCCTCACCTGTCATCATGAGTTGTACAGTATACTAATGATAAAATAAATATTTGTTCACTGATCTGTGCTATAAATGCAATTTCTGTATGTTTCAAATGAATTTAATCATTTTTATGATAAAAATCGCTGTATTTTGTGTATTTCCTGTTCAGTTACAGCGTAGGAAGCGAGGTGAGGCAGCACTAAGCTGTGCCTTACGTCAGACTGCGCAATCCCTTGCAAACTGGGTTGAGCGCGTGCCTTTTGCTCACTCAGTGTATGCTACCGATGTAATGCTTTACTAAAATGTATTGACATTTTTTATATATTTCCTCACTTTTTATATAATATTAAAGTATTTCACGTATGTCTATCAATTATTTAGTGTTAGGATTTGACATAAAGCTGCATTGAAAAGACATGAGGTGAGGCAAACAGTAAGGGATGCACGTGAGCTCACATTATTCTTGTTCGGTGGTTGCTGTCTGTTGGTGGTTGCTCAAATAGCTCTTCTTAAGTAGTCAAGTACAATTTAAAGAGTCCATCATTTTATTTTTTGATCTGACAGTCTGCAAAAATGGTTATTGTTATATTGTTACATTTCCATCTCAGCTCAAAAATGTCTCATAATTAGACTTTTAATCAAAACATGAGGTAGTAAATAATTGACGGCCAATGCCGGAGCTAAAGGGCTACCTTCAAAGGACGGGAGGTCCTCAAGACTTTATTTGGCCCAATAGGCCTATGTGCCTGCTGTGTGTATAAAAAGAATGCTGATATGAGATATGAAACACAATCGGTAGTTGTCAAATATATTAGTTGCATATGTTTGTATGTCAGTGCCTCAACAGCCACAAACCTCACCTCATGTCACTGATGTAAGCATATTGCTACTATGCAGAGCTGATTTGTGGTTTTAAGGCAATATTTGCATTTCTTTTTGCAGTTTAGTGTCTTTAAAAAGGTATATTTGAACAGGTCATGATTTTTGCTCTTGATTTGGTGCTCTGAACAGGTTAACATTCTGTCATGCTCAAAAAGCACTTCAAAAAGCCTGTTCCTCACACAAATCTACTATATGACTTCAGAAGACTTACTTTTTTTTTGTGAAAATCACCCCATCTATGACGTTTTACATCTTTTATTCAAGTCAAAGTTTGAGATCAAGCTCCCATTAATAGTAATTGCATATAAAAGTGCATCAGAAGAGTTTGATGTCAAACAGGTTTAGAACAACGACAGAGTAATAAATAAATGAATAAATAAATAAATAAATAATGGCTTTCATTTTTGAGTGAACCAGTCCTTTAAGTAATCATTCAACAAGGCAATACATTAATCACTCGCTTCCCACTTAAAAGAGACTTAGTAAAGCGTGCAGTGTTTATCCAGTTCTATACAACCACAAAGCCAAAAGCAACGTAAATATGCCAGACATTTCTGATGCAACCTGCATTTCAAAGCCTTAAGTGTGTGCATGTGTGTGATGTTGTTTTTTTTCCTTCACACACATTTTCATACCGATGCCGTTGGCTTTGATGAGATGACTGTTTATCAAGCAGTAAACTAGAGCCCCTTTGAGAGTCTCATCAGGATCTTTAATAACACTTATGCATGGGGCTGCTCTTAATGTGGCCCTCTGGGCTGCTTGAAATCGCAATTTGAAACATCGAGTCACACAGTGTATGTGATGGAGATTCCACTCAAACCAGTGGGAAAGCCAAGAAAACTCCGCTCATGTGGATGGGGATCGATGTAGCAGCAGGTATATGATCATTATGCAAAATATGACACATGGAAGCTTTTTCCAAGCAGATTTATGGGAACAATTAAGCTTTCTCAAACTGACATGACTGAATTGCAGGGGAGGAAATCAAGAGTCAAAGCCAACTAAATTAACATCACAAATTGGATCATTTTAAAGCCATAATGCCATCATAAAAATTTTACTGACATTTTAGTGAATTTTGAGTTATTTCTTATTCTGTGAAAACTTATATACTTTTACATATTAATAATAATAATAATAATAATTTCTTACATTTATAGAGTGCTTTTCTGGACACTCAAAGCGCTTTACACATTGGGGGGAATCTCCTCATCCACTACCAGTCTACAGCATCAACCTGGATGAAGTGACAGCAGCCATATTGCACCAGACTGCAAACCACACACCAGCTGATTGGTGGAGAAAGAAGTCAATTATGATTTGGGGATGGTTAGGAGGCCATGACAACCACAGAGAGTAAGGACCTCAGTTTAACGTATCATTTGAAAGATGATGCTCACTGATCAGTATAGAGTCCCCATCAATATACTGGGGCGTTAGGACCCACACAGACCGCAGGTTGTGCGCCTACTGCTGGTCTCATTAACACCACTTCCGGCAGCAACCTAGTTTTCCCATGTGGTTTCCCATCCAGGTACTGAGCAGGCGCAGCCCTGCTTAGCGTCAGTGGGCGATCATGTGAGTTGCAGAGAACTACCTGCCAGCTAAATTGACAAATTGAACAGGATTTTAATTTTGTAAATTTAGAATACACTTAGATTCTCTGTCATATTCATGTATGAAATACTGTTGTTCAGCAAGTAAGTTTTGCTATTTGGATGGCCAACATTAGATGTACACTGGATTAATATACTGAAAATAATTACATGACAATAAGTCATGACAATAAAAGTTTATGTTACTTTAACTGGTTTTAACATTTTTATGTTCTACAGTTTTTTTAACAACATTTTTTTTTTATTTCAAACATTGTCATATAAAAAAATACAAGAATAAAATGAGCTCAAAATAACTTCATACATTTTGACAGAAAAAAAAGATAAATAAATAAATAAAAATACTATATTAACTAATACAGCAATAACATATTTGTCTAATCTATACTTTCAATGACCATCAGTTCAACAGGAGTCTCATCTAGATGATCCAAAAAGTCATAAAATACTTCCTAAATAGACCAAAATATATGAAATTTGTTTTTCAAAAGAATCTTTTCTAATGCAAGATGTTTAATTTAAAATATTTAAAATATTAAAATATTTTTGTCAGTTTGATTGATGTAAGTTGAGATGACTTGAAAAATTTATTTAATTTAATAAAAGGCAGCAAGATTTTTTTTTACACTGTATAAATCGAAGGTGATATGTATACTGCATATGATATGTAGATACAGTTGAAGTCAGAATTATTAGCCCCCCTTTGATTTTTTTTCTTTTTTAAATATTTCCCAAATTATGCTTACCAGATTCAGGAAATGTTCACAGTATGTCTGATAATATTTTTTCTTCTGGAAAAAGTCATTTGTTTTATTTCGACTAGAATAAAAGCAGTTCTTAATTTTTTAAACACCATTTTTAAGAAAAAAATTATTAGCCCCTTTAAGCTATTTTTTTCTGATAGTCTACAGAACAAACCATCGTTATACAATAACTTGCCTAATTACCCTCATATGCATAGTTAACCTAATTAAGCCTTTACTTTAAGCTGTGTAGAAGTGTCTTGAAAAACATCTAGTCAAATCATCATCAAACATCAAGATAAAATAAATCAGTTATTAGAAATGAGTAATTGAAACTAGTATGTTTAGAAATGTGTTGAACAAATCATCTTTGTGACATTGTAGTTTATGTAGTATATATGGTATGCGATATGTATATTGAATGCTTCTAAACATTTAATAAATTAGCTAAAACTTTGTTTAAACTACATATGCTTTCATTACCTGGTTTTTAGCAATGGAGGAATCTTGATCCACTTTTGGCAACTCTGAGTCAATGTCAGAGGAGAATTTGCAGAATTTTGGGTATGAAAATATGGCACAATGGAGCACCTACACTGGCTAGTTGCTGAATACCTCATTTAAGTTTTGTAAGAGAAACACACCGTTTAAAACTTTGTGAATGACAGGTGTTGAAATCTGTGGAGATTTCTGAAAAGTTTTGCGGGCACAGATTTTGCGTGGGCTTGAGCGTGCCTTATAATATTAATACTGATATATATATATACAAAATGTGCCATATATTGCATCAACAGGTCATATTAAACTCATTTTTTTATAACTTACTTCTGCAATAAACAACTGAAATTAAATCAAATCAGTATGTAATTTTCTTATGAATAAACCAGTTCCCTTAACAAAATAATTATCTCTAAAACAAGAAGCAGGAGCTCTAAACGGCTTGAAAACTACGAAAATACAGGTAGAAAATAAGCAAGAGCAGTGGGTAGCACTGTTGCTTTAAAGCAAGAAGGTCACTGGTTGGAGCCCCGGCTGGGTGAGTTGGAATTTCTGTGTGGAGTTAGCATGTTCTCCCTGTGTTCGCATGGCTTTCCTCCACAAGTTCAAAGACATGCGCCCTAGGTGAATTGGGTGAGCTAAATTGTCCGGAGTGTATGTATGTTTATCATCAAGGTTGGTGGTTGAGCATTGGGCTAACAACCCACCTCATAAAAATTAGAAGTTATGAAAAACCAACATGGTGTGGCTAAATATCAACTTCGATATAAACGAGAGGGCGCTCGTTGCAGAGCCATTTGAGTAGAGCTGAGCTCCAGCGAGGGGGAGCATGAGCTCTCGCTCTGCCTCCTGTAAGCTGTTTTATGCGTACACCAACCCCACCCCTAACCCTACCCCCAGTGACATCACTCATTGAAGAAGTGCAAAAAAGGTGGAGCTCAAGCTCAAGCTCCCCCTCGCTGGAGCTCAGCTCACCCAAATGGCTCTGCAGCGAGTACCACTTGATATAAACGGTCTTGGGATTAAGTAAAAGTAAGTAAAATATCATTGTATCTGCGGTAGCCGGGGTACAGCAGCAAAGCTATTTGATTATTATGCCAGGATGATAATATACTGCAGTGACATATCAGTCTAGAAAATGTTTTATTTTCCGACGATATTAAGGCACAATGTACTGTCAGAAGAGTCAAGCTTTAAATAGGAAATCAAAACTCTTTCGTCATTTTGAGCCATATGCTAATGGTCTAATCTGATTTAATGATCTATGCTAAGCTAAGCTAAAACTGTAACTAAAAGATTGGCTGAATGGATTTAAAACTCAACTGTTTATCTACAAGGAAGTAGTTTTGTTCAACTCTTTTAAGGGAAAATTAACCTTAACACTGTAATTTCCAATAATTCTTTAACTACTAGAACTACCATATAATTTAAGACGTCATACAGTCACATAATATTCACATTCAAAGCTTCTTTTGAGATATTAAAATTTTAAAAAGCTTTGAATGTCTGTCTTCATATTTAATTAGAGAAAGCTGTTCATGCTTTTATCACCAGCAGAATGGACTACTGTAATGCACTCCTCACTGGCCTTCCCAAAAAGACAATCAGACAGTTGCAGCTCATCCAGAACGCTGCGGCCAAGATTTTGATCAGAACCAGAAAATCAGAGCACATCACACCTGTCCTCAGTTCTTGACACTGGCTCCCAGTTACATTCAGAATTTATAAAGTATTACTACTTGTCTATAAATCAGTAAATGTCCCGGGACCTCAATACATTACAGATATGCTTACTGAATACAAACCTAGCAGATCTCTCATATCTTTAAGATCGTATAAACTAGAAATTCCAAGTCAAAGCAGGGTGAATCTGTTACGAGAACCAGCGATCGTTCTTCGGAGATCGCTGGTTTCCACTATACCAGGACTACACTTCCGCATATCCCAGGACTACATTTTCATACATGCACCTCTTCCAGACATGCACGCCTGTTCATTCATCTTTCCTGATTACAATCACCAGCTGAACCTTGTCACAGACTGATAGCCTACCATACATAAGCCACTCATGAACTCATCCAGTTGCCGAGTCTTGTTTACCCTAGTGTGACATTACAATGCGTTTCTCCCTGTCTTGTTTATCCGTGTTTAGACCCTAGCCTTGCATTCCTTGTTATTCTGTTTAGCCGCCTGCCTTTAGACCTATTGCCTGTTATATTGACGACGCTTCTGGATTTGCCTGTATATACCCGTTTGCACCTGTATGACCACTGCTTGCCTGACCCTGAATAAACCTGCATATTGGATCTTACCTCAGTTGTATCTGTCACCTCCCTCCCCTGCCGTTACAGAATCGGCCTTTAGCTACTACACCCCCCACAGCTGGAATCAGCTTCCAGAAATGATCAGATGTGCTCTAACATTAGGCACGTTCAAATCAAGACTGAAAACACATCTGTTTAGCTGTGCCTTTACTTAATGAGCACTGTGCTACGCCCGACAGATTGCAATATTATGTCTTTCTTTTCTTTTTCATTCTTTTATAACCCGTTTTAACACAGTTAATCAGTTTTTATTCACTGTTATTATTTGTTTTTATTTCCTTATACACTTGTCTCTTTTATTCCGGTTTATGTAAAGCACTTTAAATTGCCACTGTGTGTGAAATGTGCTATATAAAACTTGCCTTGCCTTGCCTTAATTAGGTTAGCAGCCTAAAAATGCAATCTTTTTGGTAACACAGCCTGTAAATGTTAGTTTACTAGACATTTGTTAATGATCCCCCTGTACTTTCATTTTCACTTTCACAAGCAGTAGAGAAGGCTTTTTGTGGCACTGAATATGATCTTCTGAAAAACATATCTGAAGTAAAGTTATCTTTTTGCCAACAGTAAGTAAAATTTTTGTTCGCATGAAATTGCTAGGCAACAGAGACAGGGAAGACACTGAAATGCATGGGGCCATTCTGACTGCTATGGTTAATAAAGCTAGAAATACCCATAGCTCTTTTACGTTTTGTAATTTTCATAATATATCAATGTTGGAAAAAAATATATATTAAGGAAAAGTCAGGGTATTATAGATATGTGTGTTTTATTTAAAATGTAATTATTATTCAAATGTAATTTTTTTTACAAACTATAAGTCAATCTTTACCTGTAATCCTGGAGTCCCTGGCTCTCCGGTTTTCCCTCGTCGACCCTGCAACACAGAAAATGGGAAAATTAGAAAAGAGCGACTGTTTGGGCAGGTTCATGTTTGGCAAAGCTGGGGTGGCAATTAGAAGACGACAGCTCCTCTTGTCACAGTGACTAATTTGCTTTTAATTAACAGAAAGAAAACAGCTTAATTGCAGAGCTCTGTGTGGTGCATCCCGTTCTCTTTATACCACCTCCCTTCCAGCTGTGACAAACCCGGGCCACATCAATCACAACAGGCCCTCGGCGACAAACAGAAAGGGCCCCTGTGAATGGCCCCGAAGGCTCTCCTGGACATAATGGACTATTCACAAATATAATAACCAGCTTCAATTCGTATGCTCCGAACACACAAAAAAAGGCAAAGTGCGTGAGGTGGGCTCAATGTAAGCCGTCCAAACTGCCAATCACTGGTTTAATTTTCGACGCTGCACGACGACGCCAGCCTATCAGAAAAAACTGACATAAAGACAGCCAGTGTGGCAACCTCGGGGAAATTAGTTTCCACATTGTCCCTCGTTGAATGAGCCGGACGTTTCTTTGATGGCTGCGTCTTCATGTGCTAAATTAATTTTATGGAGACGTTTTATATACAAGGGCATGGTGCAATTTCAGCAATATGTACACGGCATTATTAGGAATTCACTAGGGGGAGGTCTTTTTTTTTTGGTCCATGTTTGTGAGATCTCTGCTCATGAAAGAGGATGTTGAATGTCCACACAAAAGGCAGTGGCTTGTCTGTATCCTCAGAACTGTTCATTTACATAGTCTTTGATTCGATGATGTCGGGTTGGCTCGTGTTTGTCATTTTCATTACCAGCAACATAAAGAACTTCCAAAGAATGAAGGACTTTCATGGTCAGGCCCTGTATGAGTGCATGGGTGCCAGCAATTTCACTGTAAGAAGGGAACATTGACTATAATGACGAAATATTATATAGAAGGATTTGTGGGAGACATTTGTGCCTGAAATTTCCTGTTCATTCTTGATGTCCTGTGTTGTGAAGAGTTGCTTGGGTGTTTCTAGGTTGCTGCGTACTAATCTGTTCACACCACTCTTAAAGGGATAGTTCATCGAAAAACGAAAACTTCTCTGTTAAGAATAAAACACACTAAATCAGATAGTTAAGTGGTCCAGTAAGCGGACAAGACAATCTGGAGGCTGTGTGTAGACCAGGCAGCTAAAGAGAATAACAAATCCAATTTTAAGTGACACTGCTCATCCCCTAAACTCAGAGTTTCAGCTCCTTCTGGTCGCATGTTTTCAGTATCAAGCTTTCATACCAGCAGCCGTTAAGACATTTAATTAAAGCATAGACTAAAGCAGAGGTGTTTCTGTCTCTTTGGAGGGGGATTGGACACTTGAAGAGAGAATTTTTTATTTATTTTATTTATTTTTTTGAAGAGAGTGTTTTGTATGTCTGTTTTATGTCTTTATGTCCATTTGTTGTTGTCAATATGTGAGTTTTTTGAGTGGCACTGTTATGAAATGGGGACTTTTGACTGCAAACCAAATCTACCTTTGGGTAACCTAACATAACCCAACCTAACCTAACCTAACCTAACCTAATCTAACCTAACCTAACCTAACCTAACCTAGCCTAACCTAACCTAACCTAACCTAACCTAACCTAACCTAACCTCTTCATACCACAAGATCACTGGGCTGACTTTGAGTATAAAATAATGCATAGTTACACACAATTCATTCTTGTTGTGCCAACACAAATAGTTTAGGTTAACTTATGTTGGGAAAAAATGAATGTGTTTTTTATTATTTTTGTCTCTTTTTCTTTTCATCAAACAATTATTTGTATTGGTCATTTAAGGGTCATATATTAACTGAACTTCTACTGTTGTGTGTGGGATGCTGTGCATACTAATTAGCATTTTTGCAGAAGTTGATATATGCTGGTCCAAAATTTATTTCAGCTCTGCAAAAGCTTCCTGTCTGAAGAAAGGTGTTAAAACAGAACACAGAAAGTCTTTTGCTTTTATTGTTGTGCAGAAAAGAGGACTTATGTCTGAGGTGCGGCCAATGGAGGACTGAACAATGTTTGACAAATGACGAATTCCACTAAACTCCACCTGTTAATATCAGCTGCCTTTATAAGTTGAAGTCAGGAAATGAAAACTGTTGCGCACCTCCTTAATTTAACTTTTACATTGCATTGAGGAGAACAGAATTCTGTGAATTGAATTATTCATTTGTATCCAATAAATTGTTACGATTTTTGACATTGAAGAAAAACCTCTCCTGATCTTTTTTCTTGAACACGCATGGAATTGATGAAATATTCAAACACTTAATTCTTTTGACAATTTTATTTGGGTTGAAGATAAACAATTAAGTTGATTAAGAAGAATTTTCTAGACTAATTAACAATAATGTTTTGTTTGCAAAAATAAAAGTTTTTTTTTTTACTTTGTCTTTCTGTTTTGTTTCTAGAACAAATCTCAAACAATTATAATATCAAGACATATTTTCTAGACAAATAAAAAAAATGTTTTGTTCGCAAAAATAAAAGTTTTTTTTTTTTTACTTTGACTTTGTTTTATTTCTAGATAAAAAAAATCAAACAAGTATTAAATCAATAAGTATTTTTTAGAACAATAAAAAAAAGTCAAAGCTAAGCGAGTTTTTTTCTTAACCAGCTAACTATAATTTAAATTTAATATACTTTATTGTCCTCAATAAAGTGGGGAAACTTGTACTTGTATAGGACCCTATAGGTCCACGTTTGCATATACTGAACAAACCAACAAATTTAAAACATAGCTCACACAACAATTTAGTTTCAAAGAAGAGAATTACATGTTTAAAAGTACAATTGACACGGGTAAAAAAAAATGGTTTGACTTTATATTAAGTGGCCTTAACTACTAGTATGTGCTACTTTGATCAAAATATAAATTCAATATACTGAATGTGTTCATAATGTTTTGCAGGTGGGATACGGGTGGGGATAGAGACAGATTTTGTGGACTGGGTGGGTTATTGTTTGATGAATTGATCAACAGTGTATTTATAAATGTAATTACAGAAATTAATTACAGATGTAATTACATGCATGTATTTAATCAAGTATAAGTATGTGAAAACTTGTATTTACAAAATAAGTACATTGTGGCGAATTATTTATTTCAGTGTAAGTATATATTATTTAAGCCAACTTAATATAAAGTGGGACCAAAAATATTTCTTAAAACATTTGTCTCTGCACACATGCAGCCTATATCATCTAATAGAAGGCAATAAATCATACTGCCTAAACAAGCTAAAGAGCAAACTTGGCTTTAGATTCAACTGTAATGTTTCAACAAAACCATAGTGTATTAGGCTTTAAGTTACAGCCTGGAAAAATAAAATAATTACTTTCTGCAGAACCCCAAAAATGCTCAATAGCTAAAGAAAATGCAATCGTATGAAAGCTTTAGCTATAGTTCTACCAGGAAGACTGAGATGACACGTCATTCATAAAAATTATCTTGTCAACCTATAACAACCAAGCAAGCCATGTATATAAGTCCATCTAAATAATCTGTTTCGCTGTATTCAGGTGACGTTGTGGAGGTTTCCCTCCATCCTCCCCATCACCACCACAACCAGGTCGGCCTAGTCTCCACTCAGGGGGTTGGCTTCGCCCTACCTTCATCTTCAGGCAGGATCTGCCAACTCATCCAGAGTTCTGCACTATAGATGGGGCTTACGCCAAAGAACTTTATAAAAGGACTGTAACGAATTCGCATTCATGCAAACAATTCACATTAAATGTTCAAACGTTTATCTGCCTCCTAAAGTCTTTCTGGTAGAATTGTTTTACTTACATTATTTAGGTATTTGGACCCTAAACACTACAAAAAATGTAAACTAACCCTTTAAGCTGGATTTTTCCTACATTATCCTCTCATCAACAAGACAATTTGAATGAATCATTTATTGCTATAGTGTCAACAGACAAAGCCCTAACTGTAAACATAAGTCCGATTTAGATTAAAGAACACTAGAAAAAATCCAACTGAAAGTAACACAATGAAACTCCTACACATCTACTGCAGACTGTATATGTCTGCAAAATATCAATTACTAGCTGAAATTGTTCAGTAATGCCATCATAATTATGTTTGTTTCACTAAGTGAGGCATTATTAAACAGAGAGAACATGAGGAAATGTTAAATGGAAGGTTGTAAATTGTAATTCTCACAGCTTTGAAAGTTTATATTCATCATTTGATTATGCTGCTCAGTGAAAATCAGATGGTTGTTATGAGTAATGATATGTTAACACAGTGAAATAGGTCAGTGAATGATTTGTTCAAGATTTAGTCTGTATTTTCTGAATAACACGAGCTGAGATGTAAAACAAGAAAATGTCTTAATTCTGCTATGTTAAACACATCATGAATAATGTATTTCTGCTTTTACTCCTATAATGTATTAGGCTCTTTTATAGTAATATCTCAGTGGTGATGATAAGATACACTTCATGCATTATAGAAAAGGGGGATTAAAGTGTTACATGCAAAGCAGAAGTTGTAAATTCAATCGATACCATCAATCTGCATATTAAAAACCTTCTATGTTTCACAGTGCAGAAAAGTAGAAGTCTCACATAGTTATGGCATGTTGAAATAATTTGTTGATTTTTAAGTCTGCATACCCACATAGATTTCACTTACTAAGGTAAAAATAACACATATATACATATTTTAACACATTTCTTTCTATTATTTAAGCTCTGAAAACAGAATATTTTATACCGAACAACTGTTGTTTTTCAGCAAATAAATGATTTATATTTTTGTTTTAAATTGTAGTTTGATTTAAATAAGTAGTTTTAAAACCAAAATAGAAATGAGTCAAAACAAGCATGTCATCCAGAGAACTGATAACTTTAAACTGCTCAATTTAAATTGCATATTATATTTTATGGTTGAAAAATTGTAAAAATATAACTGATCAGTACAATAATAAAGTAAAGTAAAAAGTAAAGTTAAATTAAA